AAAGTTATTTTATAAATTTATTTATTTTTATTTAATATTTATTATATAATTAATAAAATTATACAATGCTAAACATGCTGTATTATTCAATATTCATAGATGTACTACACATAGTACACAATTAAAAATTTCTGTATGACCCAAAATAAAAGAATTATAAGTGCATCTTTCAAAAAAGATAGAATAAACATAAAAGAATATAAATATTACCTTTTAGCAGGCTTACTATATGTATCACGAATATGATAAGTCCAACATTTTGTGCACATACTATGTTCTGGCAAGCAACTACAACAAGTAGTTGTACGATTGTGACACCTTATGCAATGATGTTGAATGCACTTTTTTAAGAGCTGTGAATTTACAAATTTCTTTGAAAGACTTGTAAGATCATGCTCAACAATATTCGAATCTATCTCTTTTCTTTTTTTAGTCCTGTTAGCAATAGTTTCACTAGAATAATAATCAAAAATAGAGGCTACTAACTGCTTATGAAAATCAACATGTTTTATATTTTTTTTGTCTGGTATAAAGTTATAGTATGCGAAATAACTATTCGCTTTTACTACAGAGAGATAAAAAGCAAAAATATGATTAGCAGAATATTTTGTAGTAAGAACATCATGGTAGGAAAGTGCATTGTCACATAAATTGTTAAGTATATCAACAGCTGACCAATAGTTATTGTATTCATCAAAAACTACAGGTCACTGAAACCTTATAGTGCCAACATTCTTAATATACCTTTTTATATCTGTTTTAAAGTTTATTGTAGAACAACTAGCAAGCAATACAATATCCTTGTGATTACAGATTGAACATAAAACAAGATCAATACCATTATGTTTTCCAATTCTACTAATAACTGATCCGTAATCCTCACCAAGTGCACTTGTTATATCATGTGGGATGTTTTTGGGCCAATATCGATGTTTTTTTATTTGTAAAATTGAATATAAACCATATTTATATAATGAACACATCCATTTATGCTTTTAAACCATGAGTCTGCAATAATTGTCCTACCACTATGGAACCATGGTTCAGTTAATTGCAACATAATTGCAATTGTTAAAAAGTATTGATTTGAAAATTTTTTTTATTAGAATATGCTGAAGGCTCTACAGGATCTAATTGTAAAAACAAATTAACCTAAGCATCAGCAACTGCTTTAAATTCGCAGCCAATTGGATGAAGTTTCCTTGGTATTTTACATTGAAATGGTCCTTTATCAATTTTGCCCATCCACTGGCACATTGACTCATCAATACAAAGATAATCACCAGGTGTAATAGCCCTACAAAGGTTCTCATTAAATGCATTATGAAACTCACGAGCAAAGTAAAAAGGATCACTATCCTCTGTTACATTTGTTAAGGTCAAATATTTAATAATATCTCTAAATCATCGGTAAGACATATACTGCCCAAATCCTAATGTAATACTATCTGTTTCCTGTTTAACTACCCAATAATCACATTCATCAGCACACTGTACATATGTCATGATTGTTAAAATCCCAACAAATTGCATAAACTCTATCCAGGTTAAGTCCTTCCAAAAATGTTTACTTGCATGCGCACACCTGTTTGTCAATAATATAACTGTTGATAATATATATTCAACTGGTAAAAAATGTTCAAAAAATTGTCTTGGAGATGCCTGAGTAATATTACTAATATGCACAACTAGTGCTTTTAAATATGAATGACCAACTTGACAAAAATCAACTGTTACAATTGAATTATTCCATAAGATTCCACTTTCAATACTAATACCTTTTTCTTCACTTTGACTTTGCTCACTACAACTTGAAATATCCATTTCAGATTTATAACCCTTAGCTAATATTGTTATTATCTTTGTAAGAATCATAACTAGTACCTTTATTGGTTACAACCTTTATACGAACTGCAGAGGCTTCAATTTCTACTTCTGAATCATTATCAAGACTTACTATCCACTGATTTTTGCTAGATGTTATACGTAAAACTGTGGCAGATAGTCGTTTAGTCTTTTATTTGTTTCCAAAAATTGGATGCACTATTGTTTCATCTATAACTGACCCCAAAATTGTTACTTTTGAACCTTCTTTGATTTGTAAGATACATCCTATTGATATAAAAAAAAAATTTTATATCAAAAAAAAAATAAAAGTTTATATAAAAAAAAAAAAAAAATTTATAATAAAAAAAAATTTATAATATGTATATATAATTGCTATGAACTATATAATATTCGTACTAATGTTTCACAGCAAAAGTTTGGGCCATTGGATAAGTATCACAATATTTCAATATGATTGTTTTTTAATTGCAAACTTTTATTGACACACTTTTTTTTCATATCTACTACTTATGTATAAAAAATTTTCTCAAAAAAAAAATTTGTGAGAAAAAGCAAATTTATATATACAAGGTTTTGTCTATTTAATTATTATGTAGCATGAATTACATAAGAATTATATCGTTTTTATTAAGCCTAACTACATAAGATTGTGATTGATTTAATTGATCCTATTTTTGGCTTTATGCTACCAATTAAGCTCAGCCAAACACGAATTTACTGTATAAAGTATATGTTGTAATTGGTAGTACATGATAAGTTACTTAAGAATAATATTATTACATAATATAAGATCAAGCAGCTTTTTTGATTAATAGATAAATGCTTTTAAAAACTGTCATAAATATAGTTAATGTACTACTAGTAGTACAGTGTGTTCCTATTCATTAATAAAATAAATAAAATATAATATTTCTAAAAGATCATTTTAGTTTCTATTTATATTATTTATTTTGTCACTTATAAATACAACTTTATACTTAATCTTTAATAAAACTACTTAAAACTATTTACAATTATTTCTTTAATATTGTTAAGAAAGTTTAATTTATACTTATATCTGAGGATTGGGTCCTATAACTTAGTTGTTAAACTCTTATCCTTCTATAAACAAGATTAATAATTCAAGTCTGACTAGAGATAAAATATTCTATAACCAAAAATGAAACCTATAATTGAATATAAAACCTTGTAAAAGTTTAAGTAAAGATACATATTTGATCTAAGGAATTCTTAGAAGAAAACTGGTATAGCAGAACACAGGTACTACTATAGTGAGAAATGTAAAGAATGTTATTAATATTTGTGAAAAAGATTGATCTTATCTAATATAGAATCACCTCTGACATCATAAATCTAAATAGATGTAATTATGGGATCTACTTTCATTCAGTAGAATTTGTGTCAAGAGTAAAGTAACTCTAAGGTCCATTATTAAAAATTAAGTTGATATTACAGAATAAACATTGAAAATCAGAAACTTTAAATAGGAAACTCACAGGCAGGTCAAGTATAGCAATTAGTAAGTAACCTGTAAGCAGAACCTTTAAATAAACAATAACTAAAGTTGTATAAGTGGCTAATTGTAGTCTTATTGATATGCAAAATGTAATACCTTCCTACAATATTTGTAGGTTGTAAGTCTTAATAAAAGATCACAAACCATAGACATCACTCTTTAAACCAAAAAAAAAAAAAAAATTTATACTTACATCCTTCCTTTATTTTCTGTCTACCCTTCTGCATCCAAAATACCATTCCCAATCTCAAATGTAATTAATCACACTTGCAGTTATTATCATTGTTCCTGGAATACCTTATAAAAAATTAACCGAATGGTTATTCTGCCGATTTGATAAATTATTGATTTTGGCATGATCAATGTAATGTTTATTAATTACGAAGATAGTATAAAGTCTGGTACATACGAAGGTGCTAATCGATTTATAAATTAAAACTCACATGAAACTACAAGACTTTAAATGATCTCTACTTCACATCCTAGCTAAAGTTCCATTTCTAATTGTAACTCTTACAAATATCAGTTTCTATTAAAGTCTTAAGGCACTTTATATCATTCAGATTTAATATATATGATTTCTTACAAGTGGCGAAAGTCTTTCAAGTTAGCAAATGAGTGGCGCATTTTGAAATTAAATGAGGGTTTGAAAAAACTTAATTGTATTTCAAAATTTTAAAATCAGAATGAAATGAAGATCCCCATTTAACGAAATAAATAGACTTTTCAACGACAAAAATCATCATTTCAAATTCCGTCACGTTAACTTTGAAACCCTCTATTGGTTGAAGCTCTGTTAACACCTAAGCGTTTAGTATAATACTTAACTAGAGTTACTACCTGGTTTTAGACCATCTTTGTAATAATAAACGTTACATTAATCATGCTGAAATCAATAACTATCGAATCGGCAGAATAATCACTCGGTTAATTTTCAGTGTTCCAATAATAATGATAACAGCTGTAATGCATTTTCACGTGGTCGGTCACGGTATTCGGATCTCACAGTACACGCAATATAAAAACCAACCAATATCTTAAAATTTTGACTATGCAACCACCTTTTGAAAACAAAATTTCTTGCGCAATTTTGGTATAAGCCATATCTCGAACCCACCCTTACCCTAACCATAACTGATAAGCAAGGATTTAATTTTTCGATTGTAATAATTGGTTTGATGCTATGTTACACGAAGCTGCAATTCAATAAATTATACCCGTGTATAAACACTACTTGTAAATTTTCATATATAGTTGAGTTACCTAACCAAAAATTTTGATTGGATATTTGGGTATCTTTAACGGACATTGAGAAACGTTGTAACAGTACCAAACAGAAATATATAGAAATCGGATCACACTAATAAACACTACTAAATATTACTCTAATTCCGACCCTAATAGTGGAAGGCTACGATCGAGGCTTGGAAAGAGTAACTAGGGCCAATTAGAGCTCTAGACTAAGTCACGGGTCTCTTAATACGAAATCACGGGATGTATTCATTAATTTCTATCACTAAGATGTAAGGTATTGAACTCCAAGGTGAATTGTGCGTTCTTTATTTACAGCAAAGGTTTAGTGTTTAAATGCTTTTTACATAGTACTAATTTACTGCGGACTTTTCTGCCGTTACGATCACATCTGACCTACTATATCTACTGTATCTGGCAGATCTGGCATATCTGCTATCAGATTTGCCAGAATCGACCCTGGAACGAATTTTCTTCCTCACAACGTACGTACGTATCGTGAATTCGAAAAAATACTTCGGCTATCGAAGGCCAAACCTGAAAACAGTTTATAAGTTTATGATAATTTAAGTTCTGAACCAATTTCAAATTTCCAAACTAGTCTCAAATCTCAAAACTGCAATTATTATTTCTGAATATTTTAATAAATGTTTTCATTACTCCGTACAATAAATATTAAGTTTATTTAATTAAACAGGTTCAAACCCTACTTTAAACACATGATGTTTTGTGTAAATTAGTCTTTCGTCATTTAAATACAATGCGGACCATCAAATGACGAAGTTAACCAAAGTTAACACTTAATTTACGAAAAAAAATCACAATATCATCTTATTACGGAGACTAAGCAATTTGCGGCTAAAGCTGGAAATTAGGAACCTCGATTTAAAACTATAAGCCCTGCCAAAATCCACTTATACTCATTTATTATCAAAGCTAATCCTAAATTATAACCTAACTACAAAAAAAAAAGCACTCTAAAAATTTTTGAAAGTCTCACATTAGAATATTTAAAATTTGCAGCTTCATCCGTTTCCAGCTTCAGCCGCAATAGCTAATCATACACAAGTCTATTTAATGATCAACCTGAAAACCGAAACAAATATGAGGATGAGAAATCAAGTACTAAAGATAGTGAATTCAAATTAGAAATTTTGGAGAAATGCAAGAAAACCGAAGTATAAATTTTTTTATTTGTAACTGTATTTAAATGAATATACATTGACATACTATTATTATCGTTTAGGCTGCTGATTAATCTTGAAAAGTCTATTAATCTTTCAAGACAACCCAAAAAACTTAACACATTGATTCAAATTTCATACATAGTCAAAAAAAATGATATATGCCATTAAAGCGTTCGAACGAGCAAAAAAAAAATTTCACTGCAGCGCTAAATTTAAATTTGAAGTTTTACGTAGATTAAAAAATAAATAATAACTATAGAATTTGATAGAAATACTCTTAAGATTCGAATTTGAATTGAAGCAATAATCAAATAAGTCTTGAATGAATTATTTGAATAAATAAATAAAAACTTCCATTATTTCTTCGATTCTGTCTTATGCTTTGCTCCTATTGAAATTTAAGTAGCGTTTACGTACCTGATTTTGGTATTCTAGGTGAGTTGGAAAGCCAGGCTTCGGGCTTTCAAGTTTATTAATTATTTATTAGACTCAGCCCTGACCAAAGACATATATGGTAAATAATAAATAATAAGCATGAAGGCCTGAAGTCTGGTTTTCCTTTAGCATCATTCGTATTATAATTGCAGGATCAATTGTTCAAGTTTTCATCAGTATTACCAATATACAGTACAAGAAATCCAGACTTACCTAGTCATACATAAGTATTTAATCTTTCGGATATTTATCACAATCAAGTCGGAAAGTTTAAAACCCTTTTCAGTGTAATAAAAAACATTTTAGATTATCATGACCGAAAATATCTTATTTTGGAAAGACAAATACCTTTTCAATTTAATATCTGATTTCCTTTTTTAAAACACAATGTGGCGAGTACAAATTTAGGTGATAATTATTGTGACTAGATATGTGATGCATTGTAATATCTTATACGTATAACGGCCGAGTACGTATCACACATGTTTATTATCCGAGAACTCACATAAATTTATATACAGGAAAGTTAGTATTAATTATATTATATTTACGCATGTATAGAGTAATTTAAGCGTTTTGATTTAATGCAAAGGTTAGAAAGAGAAAGACATGCAAATTGATCAAAGAAATTTACTTATATAAAGACCTCATTTCGTATCGATAAATTCTTTACATGTTAAAAAATAATTACTCTTTCGAACTCGTTTATTACTTGTTATGAAACAATAAATTCACAATAAGAACATACTTATTTATAGGTTTTAATTTAAGATTTCTTAACTGTCGCTAGATTATAATTATCTAAAAATTAAGCTTTCAATATGCATAAACTAGGTTTAAATAACTGCTATTTCGTTTTTAGCCATCTTTCCTTACCGTCCTTCTTATCTTTCGAATCTTCAATTAATAATGTTCCCATTTTCGACTTCTTGTCTGCTCTTTTCCTTATCATTCTCACGATACTCGCAACGAAATTTCTTTATTATGTAATTTATAATATGTACATCTCTCCACTTTCAAAAATTCCTGGTCCTGCATTTTCGTCGGTTACTGAAATTTTAGTTTCATTAAAAAGACCAGAGGGTCGTGTATTTGAATGGTTTTATTCATTACATTTGAAATATGGTAATGTTGTTAGGGTTGGTCCCAAATTTATCCTATTTGATGATTTAGAAGCTATAAAATTTATTTTAAAAGACAATGTAAGTTTTAACTCCATCTTATTAAAAATGTACGATAAAAAGGATGTATATTTTATTAAAAAATTATTAATTTTCTTATTAGGATATGCCAAAGACACCGTCTATTGCAGGAATTCGAGCTCACTACAACCTACCAACTTTATTTTCTGCCACGTACGTTTTTTAAAAACTTGTTAAGAGTGTGTCATATGATTTATTTAATTTATATATCTATTTTATTATGAAATAATTATTATTTAGTGAAAAAACTTTTCACAAACAACGCGTAGGCATCTTTTTTAAACAGTAACTTTTTAAACCCATCAAACTTTTATTATGCTATAATAATTAAAGAAATTCATTTTAACAATTACAGAAACGTATCTTATCACCAGCTTTCTCTATAAAATACGTAGCATCACTCGAACCATTAATTCAATCCTGCGTAAAGTCATTAATCAAAAAAATCGATTCACTCTCAAAACCTTCTCCTAAATCTTCACACTCGTTAAACTCGGCATTTAATCAATTTAATGAAGATAATTTACCAGTAATAAACCTTTATCAATTGGTACAATTTTGTGCTTTGGATATAATTGGAGAAACGGCTTTCGGTGGATCATTTAACATGGTTGAGACAGGAAGTCATCCATTACCTATGAAAATACTTGAGGAGATGAAAAGACGGGTCATGTGCCATACGTTCCCTTATTTTAAAATGTTCTTTAAAAAAGATCCTTGGTGTGATGAGGTAAATGATCGTTAAAATATAAATTTAATGCATAGTTTGAGCTTTTTTCTTTATTAATTAACATTATTATTATTATTATTTTATTAAATTTATCAAGTTTATCTCAAAAATAGTAAAAAATAGAATTGAGCAAAACTTAAAGACAACAAAAAAACGTACAGATATTTTACAGATTCTACTTAACAATCGTAATCCATTGAAGCAATCCTCACCAAATACACCTGTCGATATAACCGATGGCAAAACAATGAGTGACTTTGAGATACAAGATCAAACTATGGAATTTTTAGTAGGAGGCAGTGATACAAGTGCATTTACTATCATTATGGCAATTATCATGCTACACCATAATCCTGAGAAATTGAGAAATTTACGAATAGAATTGGAATCCGCGTTTCCTGTATTACAAAATCGTGTAATATCGAGTGAACATGAGAATGCCCTATTTTTACCAACTCATGAAACTTTAAAATCTCTCAAATATTTGAATGCCGTAATAAATGAAACATTACGATTGTTTCCAGTTACATTAGGTGGCATAATGAGACAAACTACTGAAGATACTATAATTTCCAATTATTTAATTCCAAAAGATACCATAGTTTCTGCATCTGTGTGGAAACTTCATCGATCTAAACAAATTTGGGGTCAAGATGTTGATGAGTTTGTACCAGAACGATGGTTTGATTTGAATCCAAAGATAAAAAATGATGCTTATTATCCTTTTGGTAGTGGTTCTCGGTTATGTTTAGGAAATAACTTTGCCATGATGGAAATAAGAATTATCCTAAGTTCGTTGATAGGAAATTTTAATTTCTTTGTCAGAAAAGATGCTGATTTACAGATTGTACAGTTTATTACACCATCGTTGAGAAGTAAAAAATTCGAAGTCGAAGTTACTCGATTACGTGAAAGTAAAAGTAATGATACAATTAACGTATAATAGGTTATTATTATTAAAAGATGTGATATATTGTTTGTACATACGTATTGTTTTATTTAACTTTTGTTTCTAACAATATATCTGATAAGTGAAGGATGGTTTTTTTTTTTTACTTTCAGAATATATACTTATTATTAAAATATGCTTGTTTCAATAAAGTTTGTAAAAACCAATTTTATGTTTATCTATCATGTCAATCCAGTTTTTATTGATTTAAAATATATATATTGTCAACAAAAAAATCATATTTGTTGATAGGTTACAAGAACATTCTTGAGATTGCACGACTAAAGAAATTTATACAAGTGTTATATTAAGATATTTGACATATTGAATGGCAAACTTCAATCATAAATTCAAAATGATAATGTAGTCGGTAAACTGAATGAAAACGGTTTGAATATGATTAGCTAGCTTTTTCTTCGTCTTGTATGAATATGCATATTACCGAACAAAAAAAAAATTTGAATCAGCCCGAATTTGAGATCCTGGCAATAAGTATGAAGGTATAAATAAGAACCGTTGCATCATTTTTGAACATTCTAGAATAAAACGCACACTTGTAATACACATTAAAGCTAGTATCTGTGCTGTTTAATTTTGCCCCTGCATTTTATACTAAATATAAAGAAAAGG